TTTTAAAGTTTTTGCCATTCGAGAGGCAGCAACTCTAAACTTGAAGAAACTTGTGGAGAAGTTTGGCGCCGAGTGGGCCCAAAACACAGTGATTCCTAAAATCAATCAAATGGCATCTGATCCCAACTACCTCCACCGAATGACTTTCCTTTTCTGCATCAACGTTCTATCTAACGCTTGTGGCGCTGATATCACCACTGTAAGTGTGAAAAAAAAACTTTTAGTATTTGCAAAAAAATGATTTCATATTTGTTTAGAAGCTGATGCTCCCTACAGTTTTGAGACTTGGATCCGACTCTGTCCCCAACGTACGTTTTAACGTTGCGAAAACTCTGAAAATTATCAGCAATGATTTGGAGCAAAAGTAAGGGTTTTATTTGTTTAATAATCAACGTCATTTTAACTGTCTGAATTTATTTTACAGCACTGTTCAGACACAGGTGAAGCCGTGCTTGGAGAAACTGCAAAATGATGCCGATATTGATGTGCGCTATTACGCAAGCGAAGGACTTCGCTCTTTGTAGGCAAAAAACTCATCTACTTGGATTTTCTTACCCCTCTTTACAAGCGCCAATATATTCATTTTTCTCATTAATCTAAATTTAACCTTGCACACACACACATTTCCGTTTGATTTTGCGAGTATTTATTGATGTAATCCTTGTGTTATTGTTCATGCCAATAGTCACTGATTCGAATTGTGTTTATTCGACACCCTAATGAGCGCAGACTTTCCATCTGATGCGAATGTGAAACACAGCGTTATAATGATAAACTTACACTCCTTAAATTAATTCTTGTCGACCAGAGTAAAATACCTTAACTGTACATTGAGTTGAGCTTTCTCTACTTTATCCACCTCTCAGTGGTGGCCCACTCCTCGGCGCCGGCAGGTTCTGGTTAGCGCACACAGTCTGATCCACAAAATGCAGTGGCAGTACATCGTAGATGCCATTCTGGTGGAAGATGTCCAGTAGAAAGTCGACGTACTGCTTGGAGAGGGGAGTGCTCGGAGAACGGGTGTAGATGTTGCCAATGCCTGACAGGAAGGGAAGTGTTGTCTACTGTTAGGACAGCTGGGCAGGGTTGCAGTGTCACACTCACCTCGGTGACCGTTTGCTGACTTCATGCAGCTGTAGATGACCGCCACTCCCTGGTTGCCATCGTAGAAGATGAGGTGGGTGTCAAACTTGGCGCCGTCTGCAGAAAGTGATTATCCCTTAGCAGTACATTAACATCGACTTGTACTTACTAGGCATAGTGCTCGTCCAAACACTGGGGTCATTTGCCCAGACTTCACTGGTGGCATTCTGACGAGCCCATTCGCCGGTGCTGACATTCACAAGGGGAAATGAGGAAATTAGGTTTCAGGTGAACATTCATTACCATCACAGAATTACACATTGTTTTGCAAGTGATCCATTATGAAAACTTGGTTTCTTCCCTGTTCAATGTAGTCGATGTAGGCGCATTTGAAGAATGGTTCGCCAGTGCGCACTCGACTGCGATATCGTTTGAACCAAATTCCTTCGTACTGTGCAATAAAAGAACTTGTTACAGCGTTTTACGTTACAATGCTCAAGGGCAGGCATACCTGCTTGAACGTGGAGTAACCAGTTGCCGGCCTGGTAACTGGACAGTCTCCTTCCTTCTCCTGACCATCATTGAAAATGACCGGAGTTTGTGGCCGGTACATAATGCGGACCTGGTCATTGAAAATGTTTGAAATTGGACTGCTCACTGTTCTTCCGGAGGGAAGTTGTACTGAGGAAAATGGTTGCTGATTTGGTGTCGACGGCTGAAGGGACACTTGATACCGGGAGTTAAGCCGGGGGTTAAGGCGAGAGTTTAGAACTGAAAACTTATTTATCTGGCCGTTTGATTGGCTCAAAGAAAGAAGAAAAACTACAAAAAAGACAAATGTTTGCATTTTGAGTGAGTTTTTAGTGGCAGCACCTTATTGGTCAGCAGTCGAATGCGTCTTTTATAAATTTTCAGTTTCTCAAGCCAGATCACTTTTTCCAAAGTAGACTTGGTGGTTAACCTTGAGTCGACAACTAAACAATTTTTCACCGTTCAACTGACACCTTGGTAGAGCCTCTTTGGTCCTTTAAACATTGAGTGACTTTGAATGAAAGAACGAGAGCTACTGGGAACCCACAGTGCTAAATAGGTCATGGCAATTAATAAACGTCAGTCTAGACCTGCTGCTAATGAAGTACTATTGGTTTGCCAGTCAACATCTCTGCTAAATCTGAAGAAAAATGATTTTGATTTATTTGCATAGTCTCAGCAATTGTTATCTTTTGTCTAATAAT